CAGCAATAGCATGGCTCACAGCCTCCCTCTGTGGGGCTGCAGATGTAGTCTCTTCTTGCCACCTGTGAGCCTCCTTCCCCACACAGTCTCACCTGGGTTTACACCCTCCTTCCATCAACACTGAGCACTAAGGTCATAGCTGCTGCCAGGGCAGGCAGGAAGCTGTCTTCTGGGGGTGGTATATGGGAGCAGAAGGCACTAAGAGCTGCTGAGGCTGGGTCTAGAGCTCAGGATTGTCACAGCTTGGAAGAGAACTGTTTCTCCATGGGTCTGGAGCTTCCAGGAAAGAAGAACCCACACTGAGCAGTGTGACAACTAAAGATGATCTGAAGGTTCAGGGTGACACCTCTGTGTGCTTGTCACGCTTTAGTGCCATCAAAGGAACTGCTTCCCTCAGTGTTTCTGGAAACAAACACCCTCTGCCACAAGTTGGGTGTAAGGTGATGGTGGCAGAGGCCTATCTGCAGAGGTTTGGCTGCGTTCTAGGGGCTCCTGTGTGTCACAGACTCCACTGGGAAGGAGGGCTGTGATGGGTGTGCCCCGGAGCCCAGCCCAGACCTGGCTGTCCACTTCCAAGAGGAAGGACTGACATGAAATGTATATTTAAAAGTTTTAAATTGCAGATATTGTACATTTGAATTAAAGAAGCAATTAAACTACCCATTGTTACTGTCTGAGGCTTGCTTTACTTCTAAGAATCTCCTTTCTAGCATTTGAGGAAACATCCTGCTCATTTCCAGTGGGCAAGTATACCACTCAGCAAGCTGCCTTGACACTGTAAAGGTCGGGCAACACTAGTTATGGAATGAGCCTAGGTGCCTGGAGTTGGGACCAGGCCTCGGGGTATTCACAAAGCCAACTGAGTTGGTCTTCCTGTCTGGGAGATAACAGTGTGCCAAATTCTGATCGTTATTGGCATTTTAAGCCATTGTGCACGGTCCTAGATACTATTTCAGCTTGCACACATTGCTCCAGGGTACTAGAGGGGTGGTAAGGCCCCATCCTCACGTAGGACACACAGTTTGGCTCTGGAGTCTGTACAGTCTCCAGCCCTTGTTCCTTTCTGGTCGTACTCCTGGTCCAGGTGGAACCCTCCACCCCCCTCCACACAACTGGTCTTCCCACCTTTGTCCGAGGCTGGCTGCTGCATCTGCAATGCCTACTGTATCCTGTGTAGCTTGCAAATCCTTTTGCCTTGTCTAAAGCGTCTCTCTTACCAGGTCCCTTTCCTTGTATCTGGGCTCAGCCTGAAGTGCAGGCATTTTATTTACCAGCCTGCAGGGAAAGGGGCTGTTTGTTAAACACTTTCTGAAGGCCCGTCAAGTTCCAGTTGAGAGGCAGTTGTCTACGTGGTCCCTCAGCCCACCAGACACTGAAGTCAATGGCAGGATCACTCTCGGAGCCTTAGTAACTCAAGCATTTGATGGTGTGGGTGCTGCTTCAACTCCCTGAGTCTGTCTCAGCAGCCCTCTGAGACTGTGGTGACCTTGCCCGTAATTGAGTTTTGGTCACCAGAGAAATGAAGCACCCTCCCCTCCCGGTGGATAGCCAGGCATTTGACACAGCAGGCATAGGAGATATTTTCAGAAAGGATGAGGTAAGCCTGCCTGGGATGTCTGCAGCATGTTACTTCTCCTAGCCACCACAGCAGAGCACCCCATCCTCATCAGAGCAAGTCTTGCCCTCCCCCTTTGCCTGGGGGAATATAGGAGCACAAGACTTGAGGTCCCCCTCTCTGCCTTTCATTGTGGTTGGTGTTTGTTTACAACTTTCCCAAAAACATTCTGAAGGAGTTTCTTGAAGAAGGAGCCTAATGCTGTGTTGGATGAGGAAGCCAGGGTGAGTATGTGTGCCATGGAGTAGGTTCCAGGTTCTCTGGAGCTATACTGGGGCTTCCTAGGGCGTGGGCCTTTCCACCATAGGAGGTTATATAGCTCAACCAAATCTGGAAGACCCACTTGGGCAGCCCAGGGAAGGCTCATGGACAGACGTTGACCCAACACTGGAGAATCCTAGACCTTCCTGGAATCTACACACATCCTTGGCTCTGAAGCCTGAGTCTCAGCTCCCTAAGTATCTCCCTCCATGTCGTGGTCCTGGAGGGGATGCCTGCTTCACTTTAAGCTGGGAGTGGGCATTTGGGGTATGGTTGTAGAGGGGAGGGCTGTCCACAAAGACTGAGTCAAATCTGGGCTCCTCAGTGCTACATAATGGCAATGTTCAGTATTGCAATCTAGGTACCTAGTTAGGCTTCTATCCCAGGAATTGCTGGCACAGGCCAGTTCTAAGGTAGGTCAGAACCCCTCTTACTTAACCCACCACTGAGATAGGCCACACGTCACTTGGCTCCCAGAGCAGTCCAGGCTCCTTAGTGCTCCAAGACTTCCCAGACCAGGCCCTACGACCTCTTAGTCAAGGCTGCACTCGGGCACTGCCACATTCATGTGCACATGTTTCATATACTTCAGGCCTTTGTCAGATCTTCAACCCCTACATTCTTCCCACCAGTACAGGCTGTTCACAGCCCCTTGCTTGGAAAAGTGTCCTGGCATCCCACCATAGCTGCCCACTTTCTGCCCTGGCCTCTATATATAGGCTGACCTTGGCTGCCATCACCCTAGTTGAGCCTACTTTCCTACAGCCTGAACAGTTCCCATAAATACAAGTTTCAGGTTAGCCCCAGACTCGTTATTTAGAGGAGAAACAGACCCAGAGAGCCTCAGTAGGTCTCACCAGCTCACAGCAGGCCAGTCTTGACCCCATTGTGCCTGGCCTCTAAGGGACACTTGCTAAAGCTGACCTGCCCCCTTTCCCTTCAGGTGCTACTGGGGGCCTAGTCCTCAGCCTTCTGCCTTCTCATCCCGTGACAACTGAGGGTCCTAGCAGGCCATGCAGCTGTGCCAAGGTATGGAACTCTGTAGCCATATAACTGTAGGACCCTGAGTAATGGCAGTAAAATCCATTAGCCAACAGCTAGCTCCTGGCCAGGCTTTGAACTCTCCAGAGGCTCTAAGGAAGATTGTGGGAGGGGCTAGGAGATGGAAAATGGGGACCCTATCACCTCCCCGTATCCCTAAAGAGTTTATGGCTCTTTGGCCAGCATTTTGCTAGCTCCTGTTATTCTAGTACAGGGATGGGGTTCTAGTACTGAGGCTGGGGTCCATTGCTAAGGTCACGCAGAGTCAGAGCTAGATTCAAAATCTAGCATCTTGAAACTGGGCATGGTGGCACACATATTTAATCCCAGTACTCAGGAGGCAGAGACAGGTAAATTCAAGGCCAGCCCGATATATAGAATTCTTGGGCCCCAGTTCATGCTTGCCTGTCCTTCCCTGTTTGCTAGAGGTGTTGTCTGTGGAAAGGCAATAGGGCAGGTACCTAGTTGCTCCACCCCACAAGAATCGATCTTTTGAGCCTAAAGAACGGGGGCTTCCTGGAGGAGGCACTTTCTAGGTACTCTATACTGCTGGGAGCTCTGAGAACCAGACCCAGTTCCTACACTCAGCACTAGGGGGCAGCAGTGAACCAGCTGGCCAATAGTGTGTCTGACAGGACCAGTATCTGACTCTGATAGTGAGAGTACAGTGAGTCTGGACCTTCTGAGGACCCCTTTAGGAGAACTAGAACAATGATGGGTATCTGCAAACACACCTAGGGGTGTCTGTAAAACTCCGCAGTAGGAAGGAGTCCTTAGGTGACCCCCAGAGTTGAGAGAAGAAGGAGTCCAGCCAGTACGCCGTAGCTTTAGCAAGGCAGGGCACTGACCTGAACCTAGGAGGTGATACAGACTTCCAGGGGCTGCCTCTCTTTCCCTTCCACTTTAAATTCTGGACTGGAGCTCAGGCCACTCCCCCACCACCCGACCAAGTCCTAACTGTGCTCCTTACAATGGACACAGGAAGCCCAGAGACACTGTTTTCTCCCGGCTGTGCTCTTCCTGCCTTTGATCTGTCAGGGAGCAGACTGATAGACTCTCTTCCTCTGCTGACCAGAGAGTTTGAGCCTAGTTGCTTCGGAACCAGGCTAGACCCTGCATCTACCACAAGCTTGTGCAGCTGAGGGCCTTAGGTTCCGTGGAGTCACATTTGGGTCTCACCTCCCAGATGTTAGATGTTGATGCCCTGTGATGGCCTTCCCTCTGCCGACTCCCCATCTTCCACTCCTGCTTTCCCGCTGGTTCCTCGGCCTGAGGTCCCTGCCTAGCACCGTGGGCTTATTAATCCCCCACCTTGATATTTTTTGCCTGTCTCCACCCCAACATTGCTATATTTCTTGGGGACTAGCCCCAGGCCATTGAAGTTGCCCTCTGGCCGCTGCCAATTTTCCCTGCTGGGCCTCCTCAGCTCAGCTCAGTTAGCCTCTTCCCTCAGTGCTGTGCTCCTGCTTCCACCCGTGGTGAAGGTCAGTGTCTGTGCCCTTCTGACCTGCATGGCTCAGCCAGGCCTAGTTATGACTAGCCTGCCTTCCCAACACCCCCCCAACCTGAGACCCAGGGCGTGTGGTGAGTGGAGCAAGAGTAGCAAAGAGTCAATGATGATGAGGCTGGGCCTCGTGAGGCCCAACCTCAGTAAAGCTTGACAAGCCTCAGAGAGAGAGTGACCTCTCAGCAAGGACCCCACCACACCAACAGTCATCAATGTAGCATTGGGGCCTCCATCTCCCTTGTGACCCTGCACCTTGGGTCTCAGCACACTGCCCATCTTGGGCCTCCTCGGACTCTGGCCTATATGAACCAGGTAGGGCTGAGGTGGGGACTGCCTGGGTCCCCCATGCAGAAGCCTTTCAGGCACAGCTGAAGCAAGTCTCCTCTGAGGCCTAGAGGGCCAGCAGGGTGGGAGGAGGGCTGGGAGCCACAGTGGGTTTGGGCACAGCCTCTCACTGCAATATTGATGGCCCGTCAGTGCAGCCCTGATTCCTGTGCTTTCAGTTAAAAGGTTTCTGTTGTTGTAGCTTATGCAGTTGCTCTGTTGCTATGGAAACATGACATCAAAATGACGTTTCCCGTTTAAAAGCTTTTAACTAAATTCCTGCCTGTCAGATGTAGGCCCCATTTTGAGCGTGGAGCTGCCTCGAGCGAGCGAGTGAACGAGTGCACTGCCTCTCGCCCATGGTGCGCTGGCCAGGCCTGAGGCCCTGCCTGAGTGCCATCCTTAACCCTGCAGGTGCCTCCAGCATGGCAGCAGCCGAAGTGCCCGGCTACCTTGTGTCTCCTCAGACAGAGAAGCATCGGCGGGCCCGCAACTGGACAGATGCGGAGATGCGTGGCCTCATGCTGGTCTGGGAGGAGTTCTTCGATGAGCTCAAGCAGACCAAGCGCAATGCCAAGGTGTACGAGAAGATGGCCAGCAAGCTCTTCGAGATGACTGGGGAGCGCCGGCTAGGCGAGGAGATCAAGATCAAAATCACCAACATGACCTTCCAGTACAGGTGGGCACACTGGACAGTTCTGGGAGGGTCCAGCCAGGCTGCTCTACTCTTGGCCACTCTGTGGTCTGAGGCAGGGAGGGTGTGTGTGGCCTGGGATGGATGGTCCACCTGTCGGTTAGAGCCCCACTGGGCAAGATGGCCTTCTAAAACCGTTTATGTAGCCTCCCGTTGGGAAGATGGGAAAACTGAGGCCCAGAAGCCAAAAACTGGTCCTGAACGCTCAAGTAGCAAGGCTGGGAATGTCTTCCACTCAACTTCCTGGGACCAGGACTGGAGCTGCAGCACTATGTGGATGGTTCTAAGGTTGGCATTAGACCTGCCTCCTGCCTGCCGTGATGCCTCAGAGGTATGTGTCACACAGGCAGCAGCAGGCCTCGCTTCCTGTACTGGGACTCCAGGGTACCAGTTGGTCTAGCTTCTGCCTGCCTGTCACAGCCCCTAAGTTGGGCAGGGTATGGGCGTTCCTTGTTTCATGACAGGAAACTGAAGCTGTGGTGAAAAGGAGGCTTGGCTCCCAGACCTGGCTCATCTTTGAGTGCTAAGTGAGGCCCCGCCGTGCACCTAGGGCCAGCCTCAGGGTTGGTGAGAGGGATGTTTGGGGGCTGCCCAGACAGCACGAAACTCTGCCCTGGGAACTCCCCATCCGGGTCTCTGACTCGGCTGCATCTCGGTTTGACTGTCCCAGCGTGCAGCTGAAGGAGAGCCTGGAGGGAACTGACGCTAAGGCCTGGAACATCTCTGGCATCCAGGAGGGAACCACTGCGGTGGGCCTGACTGGTCTGGAAAGAGCCAAAGGCAGGGCAGGGATCATGGATGGGGATTGTGGACTTTGGAGGCATTGAGAAAGTAGTGGGTGGGACGAAGGTCATGGTATAAAGTTAAGGTCATGTGCATGAGGCTCTTAGGAGGGGGAGGTGTAGGAGTTGGAGACTGTCGAAAGAGGACAATTGTTAAGAGTTCTTCCCCCAAAGACAGACTAGACAGGCTGGGCCTAGGAGCCTGTCCAGATGGGAGGTGCTATCCCAGGGGGCTCACAAACACACTAGTAGTTGATCTGGTGAGTTGGGCATATGAGGAAGCTGGTGCAGACGTTGCCATGCAGGCGTATCTGTGAGGTGCTCAGCCAGACTCCATGGAAGAGGGGTACCCTCATGGGTGAAGAGATGCCTCAAGAAAGAGAAGGGAACCCTGCCTGGCCCATGAACCCTGTGCCCTGGGAGACACAGAGGCCCAACAAGACCTTGGACAGACCATGAAGCCCAGAAGCTCCATTTCTAACTGCTGATTTGACTTCTAAGGGCCGTGGAAGAAGTGGCAGGGTCTCAAGCCTGGCCTGTCCATGGCTCATTTCTGACCCCCAGTGCTGACCCCAGCAGAGCCTGCAAGCCAAGACCCACAGCTCTAACAGCTGCTTAGGCCTCCTGGCGTCAGTCATTGAGTGTAACTGATACTCAATGTAAGCCTGTCTCATGAAGAGAGAGCTGAGAGGCCAGTCTAGTGCCCACATGAGCAGACATGAACACATGAAGAGGATAGCAGCCATGGCCTGGCTTACTCACCCCCATACCTAGTCCAGTTCCGGGTGAAGAAGGAGTTTCTGGGGGAGCTGGAGAGCACTACTGGCTGTTTTCCTTAGCCTCCCTCTCTTTGACTGGGTGGCGCGTAGTGTCTAACTGGGTTATTCATTATTTATCTTGAAAGCCTCCCTTGGAGTCCTAGGGGAGGGATTCTGTCTCCACTCCTAGAGGTGGTTGTGAGCCAAGGAGACCCGGGAGATGAGGACGCCTGGGAGCGACAGCCACTGTAGTCTGGAGTAGGAGGCGTAGCCCTTCAGTTTATGAAGCACATGCAGACCGTGGCTCCTCAGAGCTGACCAGTTCTTCATCCATCCGTTCCTAACCCCTCACAGCAGAGTCTTGTCTTACTTTTTTCCAGGAGCTGTTTATGTATTAAGGTTTGAGCTTAAAGGAAATCTGAACAGGTAGCTTAGCTAGGTTTCATGGGACGTGATTTGTTGGAGTACCACATGAAGCCCCCTCCCTAGAGACAGGCTTCCCCCAAGGAGTGGAGCTTAGTGGAGTGGAGAAAACTAGAGAGGGAGTTCTCTGGAGAGGAGGAGCCTGGGTAGAAGGTGACGTGGCGCCAGTGGTAAGAAACTTCTCTTTCCCTGGCCCCCCCCCCCCCCCCCCCGTGGCTTGATGGTCCCCTGCTGTTCATCCAGAGCACTCTGTGCCCTGTCCTGTGTGACCTGTCCTGAGCTCTCTAATGCTGCCACACCATGTGGCGGAGCCCCCCAGGCCCTTGATGCTGTTCCCCAAAGCCAGCCTCTGCTGTGACTGGCCACAGCCTATCCCGAGAAGCAACCCCTTGTCATTGGCTATGCCTGTGTTGGGGGTTCATTCAGCCAGCTCTCTATCTTCAGGGACCAGTGAGACTAGGGTCAGCCCTAGCAGAGAACCCCCTGTGGGCCCAAGGTGGCCCTGAGGGCTGTAATGTTCCTGCCCACTCTGTCTGCAGCCTCTTTCTATGCAGACCAGAACTATCCAGCTAGCCTGTGTCCTGTCTCCCCAGTCCTCCCTTCCCAGGGGGTGGCTGAGGACAGGGATGTGACAGTCCTCTCAGTGAGACAGGACCATCCATGGGAGAAGATAGGGCATAGGGTCTTGAGGGCACTGGCCACAGCGATCAGACCTTCGACTTTGACACTAGTAGAGGGGATGTCAAGCGGTGTGAGAGAGCACTGGCCACCCAGCCCACAGTCTCTGGGCGGGCTGTGGGTTTGAGAGCTAGCTCAGGCTTAGCTCAGGGGTGGAATGGTAGAAGCATTTCAGTGGTACGGCCTAACATACCTTCCTGGTAGGTTCAGCTGAGGACGATATTGGAGCCTGGCGTCCTGTTTACCAGACATTATTTTGATAAACCCTTCCCTTTAGCTCTGTGGAGGGCTTACTTTTCCATCCCCATTTTACCCATGTAAAACATGAAGGATCAGAGAGGTTAACGAACCTGTCCAAGGTCACACTGTGTGTGCAAGACACAGGCCCAGAGCTGTGAGTGTTGTTTTCCTGGGGCCTGCTGTTCCCTCTCCCGGCGGCAGCTTTGGTAGAATACAACTGCTGCATGGCAGTTTCTTCTGTGCCGGTATCTCCTACACAGTCTCATCGCCGCCGCAGGTTAATTTATATAAAAAGCAACTCAGTTCATTGCAGTGAGTTTAGGATCCACAGGAGAGCAGAGACGACAGGAACCAGCCTCAAGCTCCGAGCACCTAGGGGTGCCCTTGCTCATGCTTGGGTTTCCATTCTGACACCCAAAGGCTGTGCAGGCCCCAGCGCCTCTCTCCCTTCGGTCCAGTGTCACGGGGGCCCTAGAGCCTGGCTGATTTGGCCAAGGAAGCCAGTGCTGGCTGAAAAGTGGCTCCTGCCTATGTCAGCATGACTCTCCCTGGGGACCTGCACCCCTCGCGTGCCCGCCACTCTGCCCAGGCCCAGGCAGGACAGGCTGCACCTGCTGTTTCTCACCTTGGCTCTTGTGTCTCTCGTTTCAGGAAATTAAAATGCATGACAGATAGCGAGTCCGTCCCGCCGGACTGGCCCTATTACCTAGCCATTGATAGGATTCTGGCCAAGGTCCCTGAGTCCTGTGAGGGCAAAGTGCCGGATGGCCAGCAGCCGGGGCCCTCCACGTCCCAGACCGAGGCGTCCATGTCACCGTCCGCTAAGTCCACCCCTCTGTACTTACCGTATACCCAGTGCTCCTATGAAGGCCGCTTCGAGGATGATCGCTCCGACAGCTCCTCCAGCTTACTGTCCCTTAAGTTCAGGTAGTGTGTGTTTGCTCTTCCTCTCCTGACCCAGCACGGCCTTGCCACCTCCCTCCCCTGCCCCATCCCCGAACGGGGCCAAGGCTCCAGTGCTTGGAGCTAGGGGCTGGCGGTGGCTCAGTGGCATGCTGTGGTGTCCTCTGCCCTGACTGGTTACACGGGCGCTAGCTGTGTGCCTTGTCCAGGGCCAGGGCAGCCGCAGGGCAGCAAGAGTTCTAGTGCCAGTGGACAGGGGGGGCTTGTCCAAGGCTCCATCCCCTCTCACCTGCATGGAAAGTTCTTTGACCTCTCTGACCTCTGTCTCCCACCATAAAATGGGGATAACTCCGTACTCCTCAAGGAGAAAAGACACAGGGCCAGGCGCCAAGCATGCCCTCCCTGCCTGCCAAGCCCCCACATGGGCCCCACCTCAGTCACAGGTCCTCTTAACATGGAGATATAGGTCTGCACCTCCCGAGCAGTGAGTGGGCCATATGTTATCTGTCTTCTCCGTCATCACACGCTAGGCCTATATCAGCCACACGCCTGTGCCTGCAAGATAGTCATAGAGCCTCTGAGAGTTGGGGGGGGGGGGGCAAGGAGGAGACACCCTATGGTGTTGGACTGTGGAGTCCAGAGCAGACACTTCTGAGGAGGAGATATTTAGGATGGGTTTGCAAGGTAAAAGAGGAGTGCGGCAGTTAAAGAAACTAGGAAATGTGACTTTGAGTTATGGACCTTCAAGCCTGTCTCACAGCAGGTAGGGTAGGGAAGGTGTCTCCATGGCAGTCTCTGAACCTAATGTCCCTAGGGTGGGGAACATCTGCTAAGTTCACCCAGAAAGCCCTTCCCCAGAGGGAATTTCTCACTGAAGGGCCCAGACAACATCTGTCTTTACTAGAGCCAGGCCAAATGAGCAGAGAAGCCTAAGATTTATGGCCAATTGTTCCCGTGGCTTACCAAGCCCAGTTCCCAGGCACAGCTGCCTGGGGCTTTGTCCCCCAAGACTGGCTGATCACCCACTCTGCTCAGAACACAGAGCACAGGCCCGGCACTGGCAGCTACCAGAATAGGCCTTGGGGTCTGGTAGGCGTTGGCAACTCCCTGTTGTCCAGCGAGGGCTTTTAGACTATCAGATAGCAGCCCTGGGCATCTCCTGGGGAGGAGCCCAGATGGTTGGTCAGTCTGTCTGTCCGTCTGTCTGTCCATCTGTCTGACTCTCTCTCTCTCTCTCTCTCTCTCTCTCTCTCTCTCTCACACACACACACACACACACACACACACACACACACACACACACACTCCACCCCACCAAAGGCATACTTGGAAACCAGACTCAGGGTGGGCCTTCATTCTGAACCCATTTCTTCATCTGTCACAGGCCAGTGGGGGCTACAGATTTCACTTACCTTAAGAGTACCAAGTACCACAGCATCTTCCAGCCTTGCTGCTCCCTGGAGTGGGCTCTTCACCCTGGAGTACCCTCCTCCAGCTCGGTGGGATTGGGGTGTTGTCAGGGTTGTGTGCCCACAAGGTCCACACTCTGGGATGTGGATGGTCTTGGAGCTGCCTGCCTGCTCCTCCCACCAGCCAGCACAGGCTGTGTCACCTGCTGCGCTCTCTGCTGAGTGAGCTCCAAGCCCTCCTCACCCCTGTGAGCTACGACCTGAGTCAGATGGGGCTCCCGGGGCCTCAGTGCCCTAGTTTGTCCAGTGGGGTGTTTGGGAAGGTCTGAAGGCCCCCCTGTCCCAGGCCCTGTAACCAGCTCATGTCTCCCCCACAGGCCAGAGGAACGTCCTGTGAAGAAACGCAAGGTGCGGAGTTGTCACCTACAGAAAAAGAAGCTGCGGCTGCTGGAGGCCATGCTGGAAGAACAGCGCCGGCTGAGCCGTGCCATGGAGGAGACATGCCGAGAGGTGCGCCGTGTGCTGGACCAGCAGAACATCCTGCAGGTTCAGAGTCTGCAGCTTCAGGAGCGCATGATGAGCCTACTGGAGAAGATCATCGCCAAGTCCAATGTCTAGGCCATAGCCAGGATGCCAGGTGCCACATAGTCCCATCTGGAGGCTCAGGGCCCCGCCCACCCAAGCTCAGGGCCCCGCCCACCCAGGCTCAGGGCCCCACCCAGGCTCAGGGCCCCGCCCATCCAGGCAGGGTTCCAGAAAGGGGACAGGTTTCAACCTGGCCTCTGTGCTTCTCTGAAGGGCTTTCCAGGACTCCAGTGGCCCTGGGAGACCTTGGAACCCCCATGTCCAGCATTAATGCCAGGGACTCCAGGGCAACTCCTAGTGAGAAGATCCCAGAATCTACTACTCTCCAGTAAAGTCACTACCATGATACTTGAAACGGCTTTTGATATTAAACATACTTTCCATTGTTGCCTGGAAGCTGACTTTGCTCTCTCTGGTGTAAAGGGAAAAGGGAAGTGCTGGCTGGGACAATTCTCCTCTGCAGACAAAAGCAAATGTCATAGGTCTGGGGCAGGCTGTAGGGATCTTTCCTCCACAGGCTCTGTAGCATCTGCCCTCATTACCCAGTTATCACCATACTGACCCAACCCGGTCACCCCTGAGTCATCAGTGTGGAGCTTCACACTAGCCCAGGATCCATGCCGACTCAACCTGCTCATGCTCTCTGAAGGCCTGTTGATCTGGGTCCTGGGAGCCGTGGCATGCTCAGTGAGGCACAGGTCTTGGCTTTATGGAGCTTTACTTCAGTCCGCACAGAAATAGTAGCCAATGATGGTGAGTACTGAAGGGAAAGGTTGGACCTGTGACAGAAGGAACCAGATTCAGGTAGAGCTAGGAAGAGCACCCCCACACAGGGAACAGCCGTTGCAAATACCCAGAGGACCTGTCACCAGCAGCTAGGTCACCCAGAGCCATGTACTTCTGGAAGAAGTTTGTGTTTTCTCCAAGTTTGTGGGGAGTGTTTGAGCCTGGCGTCTGAGAAGGCACACAATGGTCATCTTGCCACTGTCGTTTTACCATATGAAAGACTCTTCCCAGGACCCCCTCAGCTGAATAGCCATAGAAGCTTTGACCAGGCCTTGGCTTTTTCACTGAGGCCACAGAGGAGACTGGAAGCAAGCCTGTCTGATTCACCCCTTGGAACCAGGCCAGTTGCAGCCCCAGAGGATTCGGGGAGTTGGGTCAGGTGCTTCTGTGTTTCAGTTTGCCCTGAGACTTAGAGTGTACCTCTGAGGTCAGGAGTGATAGCAAGGCTTCACCGGGCAGCTGTCAGTCATCCTGATGTGAGGGTGCCAGCTATGCTGACTCTTCAATAACAGCCAGGCATGAGAGAGAGAGGCTGTGAGGCTGTGTCACTAGGTGGTGTGGTGAGCTACCCTAGGCTACCTCTGGAGGGGCTGCATGTGCTGTGCAGCTGAGGCAGAGTAGCAGGCACGATCTACCTTGATCTGAGGTCCTCTGAGCTCTCAGTCCCTCTGCCCCACGTAGGTCTCCTGAGTCCGTGTCCTGTGGACTCTGCATTTTGCTGGCAGCCACAGTCAGTGGGACACATTCCCGTCATGGTATAGGTGGAGTACCTGTCAATGTCTGTGGTGTAAATTAAGCAGTGTGCCAGCTGTCCATGTGATGTCCCTGGATCCCTAACATGGAAGAGATCAATGGGCACCAGTGCAGGTAACTGCAGCTCCCTCCTGAAAAACAGTTGGATGGCTCCAGGAAGACAGAGAACTCAGGGGCGTGTGGTACGTGAGAGCCAAGTTAAAGAGCCTGGCCTCCTTCTGCCTCCCAGAATTCATCTGCAGCCTTAGGAGCTGGGGACCCCACCATGGACACTCAGTGATCTGCTGACAGGCCTCATTGGTGGGTCACTGAGGCTGGGCTGCCATGAAGCTGCTGAGCCTCAAAAAGGGGGGGGGGGATTTCCATCCTTCCAGAAGGAACAGTGTGCTGCCCAAGAGGCTGCCGGAGGTGAGCACCGGCCACCTGTGTCTCGGAGCTCCACAGGAGAGGACAGAATGCGGGTCAGGATGCAGCCAGTGTCTTCATGTTTAGACCCCCGTGTTCCAGAACCGAGGCAGTGGTACACCGCAGTTTCAGTATCATGTCAGTTGACATCTTTGCACTCTGCATTTGAAAGCAGCCACTGTCCGAACAGGCTGGGGCTTGTTTGTTCGTCCCCCCTCAAGGCTAGGTGGGGCTCATCTGTTGAGCACCTGGGGTTGACCAAGCCTTCCACAGTGTGCCTGCCCATGAGGACTTTCTGGTTTCTTCTTTAGCTATTGGCTATTTGGGGGAGTAAAATAACTCTATTAGTAAACACTAAAATATCTGATCTGGTTCAGCAAAGCATGACCACAGGAGCCAGGCAAGTGCTTTCGCCATCGCTACCTGATTCTCTGCCATCTAGAACACGACACTGGTCAGCAAACAGAGAACTAAGGGACAGGAGGAAGACATGACAGTTACCCTCATTTCAGGTAGTACTTTTGATGATCCGGAAAACCAAATACACAAAACCTCAAGAGCTTCAACCTAAAAATATTAAAATTGACAATAGAAATGAGTCCACTCAAATGAAACCAGAGTAGCAGACTGCCCAGGAGTGGATTTAACCAGAAACACAGAGGCCCTTGCGAAGATACACAGTGTCAATGAAAGATGCAAACAGTACCCAAATGTGGGGAGCTGAGTGCACCCCAAAAGCTCCAGCCTTCTCGTTTAATTCATGTGATCCCACTATATCTCTAAGACAACTGCAGATTTCATTGTAAAATGACAAAATGATGTTTAAATTCATATGGAACAAAGAATGGGGCCGAAGGTGGGGAGGCGTGCTCAGTGGCCTGCAGAGTTGGGACGTGCACATTGGGCGCCTTCAGGTTACCTTGTGTGGTGACGCTAACGAGAACTGTCACCTGTCATCTCAGACATTTGAATACTCAGTCTCCAGGTGGTGGCGCTGTTTGGGGAGGCCTAAGCATATGTCCTTGCTGGAGGAGGCATGTCACTGAAGGCAGGCTCTGAGAATGTAAAGACTTGCCTGATTCCTTCCTGCTTGTGGTTCAAGATGTGAGCTCTCAGCTGTCCCTGCCACCATGCCTCCCCCGTGCCCTTCTTTCCTGCTGTGATGGTGATGGACTCTCATCCTTTTGGAACCATAAGCCCAAATAAACTCTTCCTTCTATAGGTTGCTTTGGTCATGGTGGGAAGTAACTGGTACACCTCTTCACGTGTGGGCCTGGCCCGGAGTCTGATGGATGCAGAGACTGGGAAGAGCCTCAAGGACAGGAACTCACACACTGGCTAAGGGGATTGTGATGGCCTCTTCAGGGATCCATCTGAAGAGATGTTCCTTTCTGACCAGTAGCTCCACCGCTCACACAGCGCCTCAGCAGAGCAGCTCAGCATGTCACTGGAGCGTGGTAGAGATCACACCATCATCTTGGGGACCCTGGTGACTCAAAAAATGACCAGCGATGGATACCAGAGAACTTGAAAGAGTTCCAACCAGCAGCACCAGTACCTATAGAAAACTTTATTAAAAAATTAAACTTTAGGCATATGAAAATGTTATTTATTTCAGAATAAACCCTTTACATGTTATTATCCAGACCAATTGTATGAAAATGTATTTTCCAAAACAAGGTTTCTGCAAGAAAAGTGGCATTGTTTTATATTTGTACAAATCTCTGGCTTACAGGAACCAGCGAGGGTTCCTCGGGCGCCTGTGTACTCTGCTGCTGGCAGAGGTTTTGGTTGTTAAATGCAGGATTCTATCCGGAAAGTACAGCCTCACAGGAACAGTTACCTGGAAAGAAGAGATATTTAAAGAACAAGTCAATGTGGCTGTTCTAACCCTGTCCTACCTCAAGCCTGAGGAGCTGGGGCAGGGGGGTTTTGCCTCTTCTGGGCCTAGGGATTGAACTAGGGGTCTCCCGTATGCTAGGCAAATGCTCCTCTATTAAGCCACCTCCCCCACAGCCCCAGCCTTTCCTTGTGTCTCATCTTAAGCCTCACTGGCTCTTTATCCTTCTGTGTTTGTGTCTCTGGAGGGCACTTGGAAACAGTTTTGGAAAATATTGTGCCCAGAGTGATACAAGTGTTCCTAGTATTACAACATGTCATCACTCAGATGCCAGATAGTCACCTTTGCCCAGTCACTAGCAATCTCGGCAGGAAGTCCTCAGGTGGGAAGTTTCCAAGCTCATGGTGGTGGAGCAAGTACTTCCAAAGTCTGACTCTTACAGCAAAGTGTGAATTTCACCACCAGTAACAAATGCTGCCACTGTTTCTCTTGAGGAACAGGCCTACTTCATTTCTCAGGAATATACCTAGCCAGCATTCTTTCAAGGAGTCTTTATAAGCTGTATTTTATTACAGCAGGCACAACTCGCCTTTCCTCGGTCAGCCCAGCACTCAGGCACGACAAAAGCCTTGCATGCACACTTTCCATTCCATCACAAGGAACTTGAAAGAGACATGGTCTCAAGGTTAGGACCCAAGACAGTCAGTGCCTCATCAGGGACATTCATGGGCACAGCTGGTGCCTCATGCCTGGAATCCCAGTACTCAGGAGGCTTAGGCAGAAAGTTTTCTGTGAGTTTTAGGTCTTACTCTGCAGCAAGACCTTGTTTCAAAAAGAAAAAGAGCCGGGCGGTGGTGGCGCACGCCTTTAATCCCAGCACTCGGGAGGCAGAGCCAGGCGGATCTCTGTGAGTTCGAGGCCAGCCTGGACTACCAAGTGAGTTCCAGGAACTCTGTCTCGAAAAACCAAAAAAAAAAAAAAAGAAAAGAAAAAGAAAAAAAAGAACATGCATATAACACATGAAAGGAAGGAAGAAGAAAAATAATGCAAATAATGCTAAATAAATACTAACAGAGGGCAGGCACCATATCCAAGGAGGTTTCCTTAAGAAGGCTCACTGAGTCCAACATGAGACAGGAGGAGGCCGACCATTAGTGACTGGTGCAACTTTGCTTAGAGATATTGGCAAGATGTGATGCTTATCTCTAGTCTCTCATGTCTGTGAGACAGAAAACCTGAGAGAGAAGTTTGTTTTTTTTAAGTGCTTAGAATTAATAAGGGAGGAATATATAATTAGTAATAACCAGAGCAGTAGGGGGTAGGTAAATCCCATTTAAAATAGCATCAAAAAGCTACAAAGTGGCCCCTCTAATCCTAGCACTCAGGAGGCCAGCCTGATTTACAGAGTGAGTTACAGGACAGGCTCCAAAGCTACACAGAAAAACCTTGTCTTAGATTTAAAAAAAAAAAAGCTATGAATTATGCTGTTCATTGTGGATCAGGCCTTTAATCCCTACACTGGGGAGGCAGAAGCGGGTCTCTGAGTTTGAGGCTAACCTGGTCTACGTAGTAAGTTCCAGGACAGCCAGGGCTACATAGTGAGACCCTGCCT